CCTTTCCTGGAACTCACTTGGTAGCCCAGGCTGGCCTCGAACTCACAGAGATCCACCTGGCTCTGCCTCCCGAGTGCTGGGATTAAAGGCGTGCGCGACCACCGCCCGGCAATCTTTTAGAAGAGGTAATAAACCATTTACAAATAACACATTTACAATTTTTTTGTTTTACAGGATATGGTTCAGGGTCGAAATTAAAAGGACCTGAACTGAGTTTAAAAGGCACTCAGCACGTCATACAAGCCGGCCAGACCCTCTTTCTCAAGTGCAGGTGAGTAGCATGGGCGTGGGTGTCGCAATCTCACCATTCCCAAATCAACCCCACTGACTCCCTGATGGAGACCTCACCTCTCCGAGTAGGAGGGATGGGCAGAGTCGCAGGGGCTCCTGTATTATGCTTCACAGAGAGAATTTGTCCCATGGAGGGGAGAGCTTCCCTCACCTTGAGGGAATGATGCCCAAATATGGTCACCTCTTTGTCCTGACCGTGGTCCCAAAGCCCCTTAGAATATGTGGCTTGTTCTTAACGAAGCAGACGGACACCCAGGGGGCCTCAGAATAGTGCTTCCTGAGACCCGGTTCTGAGCCTGGCCTCAGCCTTGACTGCTTTTGCTCTGTCCGGTTGCAGAGGGGAGGCAGCCCACTCGTGGTCTCTGCCTGCAGCAGTGAGTAAGGAGGAGAAAAGGCTGAGCGTCACTAGATCTGCCTGTGGGAGGAACAACAGACAATTTTGCAGCACCCTGACCTTGAACATGGCGCAGGCCAACCACACGGGCCTCTACAGCTGCGGATACCTCCCCAAATCTGCCTCCAAGAAGAAGAGAACAGAGTCTGCCATCTACATATTTGTCAGTGGTAAGACATTGACCTCCCACGTTCTCGTCGCTTTTGTTTGGCAGTGGGTCCGAGGTCTACTGGGACTGGGTGAGAGTATGGTTTTCCTAGGAAATGTGGCACAAATGGGCAGCAGAGGACTACCAGCCTAAATGCAGGAACCTGTGAAACAGATCTTACTGCATTTTTAGTGCTCAGTTTCAACCAGAATTTTCAAGATGCAGCGAGTTCAGTGTGCCCTGTGAGAAGAGACTCTTGTCTATTTAGTTGACTCCCACAACATCAGAACAGACTGAGCGATAGGATCCATGTGTCAATCATTGAGATGCTCAGTCTCTTGTGCAAGGTGGTGGTCCTTCAGCACAATGCAATCTCCTACATGTTAGAATTATAAAATGTTTAGGGGAGCTGGGGATAAATACAGACCAGTGTCAAGTTTAAAGCTCTGGGTGCGCGCGCGCGTGCGCGCGCGCGCGCGCGCGCACACACACACACACACACACACACACACACACACACACACACCACAAAGTGTTGGGGGTTATGCTTGAACAGCTTTCTCTTTTAAATTATCAGTGAGGGACTATAGAGATGGCTCAGCTGCTTAAGGGCACTGGCTACTCTTGCAGAGGACCTGGGTTCAATTCCCAGCACCCACATGGCAGCTCACAACTGTCTGTAACCCCAGGCCCAGGGAATCCGACTCCCTCACACAGACATACATCAGGCAAGACATCAATGCGCATAAAATAAATAAATAAGCTGGGCGGTGGTGGTGCGCGCCTTTAATCCCAGCGCTTGGGAGGCAGAGGCAGGCGGATCTCTGTGAGTTCGAGGCCAGCCTGGTCTACAAAGTGAGTTCCAGGAAAGGTGCAAAACTACACAGAGAAACCCTGTCTCGAAAAACCAAAAATAAATAAATCTTTTAAAAAAAATAGCCAATGTGAATCTTCCTCCTGGTTGGATAGATAGGTCTTGCATTAAAGCCCTGAGCAGGGCATGTAGTCACCCAGACTCGGGACTAGTTGTAGGAGACAGTCACCTGTATGATCCTGGCAGTGACCACTTTCCAGCTACTGTCGGTTGGAATTTTGTTTTTCCCTCTGAGACTGAGCCCAGGACCTTAGGCGTGCTAGCCAAGCACACTGCCGTTGAGCTACATCCCTTCTGTATTTGGGGGACAGGCTCTCGCTGAGCTGCCCGCCTGGCCTTGAACTCACAGTGTAGCCCAGACAGGTCTCAGAATTGTAACCCTCCTCCTCCTCAGCCACGGGAGTAGCCGTGGTCACAGGAGTGACCCACACTACGTCTAGCTGTCAGCATGATTTGGACCGAACCACTTTTACATCCCCGCTCCTCAAATTCTATTCCCATGTTTGTCTCTTCCAGGGTTAGCGCACTGTAGGGTCTAGACTACCTAGGGTTTGCTGTCCTAGGGAGGCCACAACCCACTAGACACTGAGAGTAGCTGTGGCCAGGGAACTGCGGGTGAGGCCACTCTCTTCTAAGGAGGGAGGAGAGAGTGGCAGGCAGGAAATGAGGTGGATGGGAAAGGTGCAGATTGAACAGCTTCCGGGGAGCCGTCCAGGCCCAGGGGAAGGCAGACGCAGCACCTGCGAGCCGGGCATACCACGCTTTGCACTTTCTTTCTCTGGTTCTATGGAACATATCCTATGGGGTATTTGTTCCTTCCTCCACTTGAGACAGAACGTGCTTTGCGGTAGGTCCTGGACTCCCTCTGTCTCTTTGGGAAAGGGGAGGGGGGAATAATCATCCATCCACATTAGAACTCATCATCAGCCTTTCTCCTGTGCGTTTGGAAGAGACCCGCTTGCAAGCAGACACTGAAATTAATAACCATAATAATAGTAGTAGTAACAACGCCTTAGTTCCCAGTCAAACAGTATTCAGCCAGTTCCCCTTAACTCCTACACCGTTCAGTAGATCTCGGGAGTTCATGGAATCGGCAACTCCAGTGTATACCCTCCACTCCATTTCCCTTTCTCCACTGAAGAGAAACTTTGTTACTCATAGTCATTCCCATGTCAACTATTAAACAGCAACCAGCATGTAGCCATTACTTTGGAGGACAAACCACTGGTTAACACAAATGCCGGAGGGTAAAGGTCCAGGACTGTCTTGACTGTTTACGTCTGCACTGTGTTGTCTTGGTAAATTCGAATGCATAGCCAAGGTCCTTTGTTCCATGGATAAACGAACCGTCTAACACCCGCCGTACGGAAGGAATACTGTGTTAAACCTGATGCTGAGGATACGTTTGGATTAGTAAGAAAATGTGCCAGCACTAATTACTGATGTCTGTCATGGGCTGGGTGGGGAAACGGTAGCCACCGTGTCGTGGATTTATCGCCTGTTTCGCTGTCTTTTTCTGGAGGTTGTCATTGGTTTCATAGAACTTCTTCAAGCCAACATGACAAGAACCTCCTAATCACCTGGAACTTGAGTTGCCGCCAAAACTTGCATGTATTTTTTGTTTTTGTTGCTTTAATTCTCTCCTGAGATAACTGGGGCTTCTTCCATTTTTATTGACCACTCCCACAGAGGTGAATTTTACCTGCTGGGCACAAAGCTTGTCTCCGCTGATGCAGATGCTACCTCTGAGGTTAATGAATTCCAGCCTTTTCCACTACACACTAACCGCCCATCACTGCCTTCTCATAGGCTAGGAAGCCTTTTGCGTGGCAGCTTGCTGCCCCAGACGAGCATCTGCAGATGAGTCGGCACTTCATTCTCGACTCTTATAGAGACGAGAAACCTTGTAGGTGCATTTTGAAAGGCAGCTGTGCAGCCCCAGGGGTCTAGAGAAAGAGACTCAAGCGTGTATAGCTTTTCCTAGTGACTGCCAAATGCAGCACATGAACTGGGAGCAAACACGCGTTTAGGACACTGTAGAGTGCCCCATTTCCCAGGCACAGTCACCCGCTAAGCTCTGATGTGGACAGTAGCCTACGGAGCACCAGTTATCACCACACCCACCACTTGCAGCCATCCACCAAGCCTGCCACTAGAACACAGCGTTCAGGGAATTTGTTATTCAAGTAACCTTGTTTAACGGCATTAGTTGACTTAACTAAGTTGGCCGGCACGTTAACATTTCCGCTACTGTAACGTCTTACGGTTGTTAAACTTTCCTTCCACATAAGCAAATGGTTGTGTTTATAGAGTGCCATTTACCCCCACTCCTGGCTCAGTTACTTCACCGTTCTCTGAATCCGGGAAGAAACAGGAATGTCACAGCAGGCTTTGCAGAGAGCAGTGGACTCCTGTAGCTGCAGGACAAAACAGGCAGTCTGCCCCTGAAGAGGAGACGGGATGGGGCCAGACTGGAGGAGGGAAGCCATTAGGGGCGGTGTGTGCCTCACAATAGGAGAGAGGGTGATAGGAAAGCCATGGGGAAGCAGAGAGCTGGCAGCTTTGGGGGATGCAATCAGTCTTGATGCCCGGTAAAGGACGGGGAAGAGAAGTCAGAGAGAAACTTAAATCCTGTCAGGGTAGCTAGGCCACTCTCTCAGGTCACAGCCGGAGCAAGCTTCCCCCGGTAAATGGCACTGATGTGAGGTCATCCCCTTGGATACACTCTTGACATGGCCTGGACAGATGGCATTTGAATGTGAATCGCTGATAAAATGGAGTTCTCCAGAAAATGTAGCTATAAAATTTTGGCTTATAAAGAAACAGATTGCCGGGCGGTGGTGGCGCACGCCTTTAATCCCAGCACTCGGGAGGCAGAGGCAGGCGGATCTCTGTGAGTTTGACGCCAGCCTGGGCTACAGAGT